CGGTGCCGGAGCTGAAAAAAAATCACCGCCGAGCCTGAAAATAAATCACCACTAGGATCCCGAACCCCAAATACATCGTCATCGTGGCTCCAGACCTGAAGGTAAATCACCACAGAGGTCCCGAACCTGAAATAGATCGTCACAGTGCTCCCGGACCTGAGAATAAATCACCACAGAGGTCCCGAACCTGATATAGATCGTCATAGCGCTTCCGGACCTGAGAATAAATCACCACAGAGGTCCCGAACCTGATATAAGACGCCGCAACGTCTCCGGACCTGAAAACAAACTGCCGCCAAGGTCCCAAACCTGAAATAACTGTCATAGTGGCCCCGGTCCTGTGTCACCAAGCCCATACCGTACCTGAAGCACGTCAGACACCGCAGGACGTAGCCACTCGGTAACAAGCCTCATATCCGTACCGAACCAAACACCATGGTCGACCCAAGGTAGCACCGGCCAATGCGTCTCCCGCTCTCAGAACGTCCCAACAACAGTAGTGTTAGTAATCAAGCAAACCAGCGAAAGCGATGCAGGGAACCTCGACCATCGGCAGTATTGAACACTGTTAAAATCCGGGGTCAGAGCTAACGGCGGGTAATCGAGGCGAAATTAGGCCAACCTCCTAATAATCATGTGTTCCCGTCCCTTTCATCATTTTTCATCATTCTTCCCTTCCCTTAATTTTATTGTTGGAAATAGTAAATTAACCRTAAGATCCCCAAAATAAAATTCCGAGAAAGTTTAAATAAATGACCGAATTTCTTTTGTTTCTTTTCTCTCCTACAATTTTTAATTTTTTCCCTATGTTTTTAATTTCATTGCCGGGAACATAAAATAACAAGGGTATTCCCCCTCGAATTAAATACCGTAAAAAAATAAAGAAATTAAGGGATGTTATGTTTTTCCCTTCTCCCCTACTGGTCGTAATCCCTTTTCCCCATCTTTAATTATGGTACTAAAATAGACAAAAATTTGAGGCCTCATTTCGGCCCCGGTCGTATGCCGCAAAAAACGTTGCTGTGAGGTTAGTTCCCGCGATGCCTCTCCGCGGCAAGCCAATCCGGGTCTAACCCTCTAAACGGCCGGAAATGACGGTCCGTTGATGTGCCGAGTGCGACCACCCATCTCGCCATCTTTGAGGGTTACCCGTAAGGTTCAGCGCGCCCAAAATCAAGGGCGCCCTGAGCTCCCCTAATTTCCGCTACCTGGTCTAACCAGAGTACCGTCAAAACTCAGACTCATCTTCGCGCTTAAGTCCCAAAACCGTAGATTTCAGGCGGCGCACTGCTTGTGGCCGCCTGACAGCGGTGCTTCTGCTGCTCTTCCCCCCCTTCCTTCCCCCCTTCC